GTCGGCCAGCCACTCGAACTGCCGCTGGGTCCGCGTCACCCAGATGAAGTAGATCTGGGAACACACGGGAGGGAGCGCGGGCAGCTCGGCTCAGGCTCCTCCTCACGGGGTTTCCATCCAGACAAGAACTCTGCTGCCTCAGCCAGCTGGGGCCTCTCTGCAAGGTCAGCTGGGGATGTGGCGTGCGCAGTAGGTGAAGCAGCGGCCCAGGGCCGGCCCATCCTGTGTGCCCACAGAGGCAGCACTGGCACCAGTGACAGCTGACAACACCTGGACTGAGCCTCTGCCCACCCACCGAGGTGGGCCCTGCCGGCTCCTCACCCAGAGCCCTGGGGACTCAGGTGAAGGCTACAGAGCCCAGTGACCAGGGGAGGAGCCTGCTCACATCAGCAAGCAGCTGTCCTACAGGGTCTGGGGGCTCCGTGACACCAGCCACCCCCAGGCTTCAGGCCATCTGGCCCCTGCCTCATCCAGGGCCGAGAACAGCAACAGCTAAGAGAGGGATGGGGGACAGATGCGTGGTGGACACGGCTGTGGGAGTGGGCACTCACTTTCTTACAGAACACCTGGCAACTGACCGATGACTTGAAGACCAGGTCTTTGAGGATGGAGGCAAAGGGGGTGACCCCGATGCCCCCTCCCACCAGCACGGACACCTCAAACTTATGCCACTCCTGGTGGCCCTCTCCGAAGGGTCCATCGAGGTAGAGCTGCAGGGAGGGCAAGGGGTGGAGTTCAGCTTAGCCACCACCATCGTTCTGAAGCCAGGCGTGGCCAGCGGGCAAAGGCAGGGACGGGGTAAGGGGAGACTGGGAGGGCTGTGGCTCTACCGGGGACAACCAGGCTGGCGCGGGGGATCAGGGGAGTCTGGGGCTACCCAGATACCTTGGGGTACTTGGCAGAGCTGTCACCAGTCGGGGGCGAGTAGATCTCCCGAAGGCGCATGGTCCAGGGCCCCGCCGCCCGGATGTGCAGGCTGAGCGTGTCCTCGTGGGGTGCGGAGGTGAGTGTGAAGGGGTGGTACTCCGTGGTCCCCAGGGCCAGGCAGGCGATCCGCACCCACTGTCCTGACTTGTACTCGAAGCCCTGGGGCCGCTGGAACTGCAGGTGGGTCACTCCTGTGGGGGGCAGGAGGGGTGTGGGCTCGGGAAGTCCCCCAAGCACGGTCCCAGCTCCCAGAGGGTGACGGGGAGGGCTGTGGTCACCGTGGAGGCCCAGGGAAGCAGTCTGTGCTGAGTCTCCGGTCCCCAGCAGAGCGTCTCCCACCGGGGCCGGTCTTCCTCCCTGGACCCAGGCCCCTGCGGCCCCGGCTTGTCACCCCTGCCGCCAAGCTCCAGGTCGCTACCTGAGGGCAGCAGCTCAGCCTTCACCACGCCGATCTCCACCTTCTTCCGGCTCAGGCTCACCAGCTTGTCGCCCGCGTAGATGAGCGCAGGGGCCAGGAAGAAAAGGTGGAACCGTGGCAGCTGGATCAGAGCAAAGCTGCCGTGGATGATGAGCTGCGGAGCAGAGAGCACAGCTCAGGAAGGACAGGAGCAGATGCGCGTCCTCCCACTGGGCCACACACCTTGGCCGTGCGGGTCCTGGGACCTCAGTGCTCGCACAGCCTTCCGTGGGACCGAGAGTCCTTTCCACTCCGTCTTGGTCCCCTTCCCATCTGCACGAGAGCTAGCGCCTGGTTTCCTACCATCTGTCTTCTATTTTGCAGTTTACAGTGACACCTTGGGTTTCTCGTAAGAGAGAAACCCTGTGCTATTTGCGCGCACGTGTCGGCCGGGAGGACTTTCTGAGGTGCAGCCTGAAGGGCCTTCCCAAGCTTCCGGTCGTACTGCAAGCTCTGCTCCACTCTGACATCTGCCTGCCAGCCGAGGCCCCTTCCCTCCCCTCTACTTTGGGACCCTTGCGCCTGCTGTTCCCCCTGCCTGGGCTGTCCTCCCTCTGTGTGCCCCGGCTTCCCCGCTGGGCTGGGGCTGCACTCGGAGCCTGGCACATGCCGGGCCCTTAGGGACTGCTGGGAGAGGAGTCTCCCCAGGTAGTCCCTCTCTTTGGGGGTCTAAGGACACCTCTTAGTAGAAGTCCCAGTCTTCCGGCTCTCTGCTCCTGAGCCCCTGCCCCACCAGCCCACAGCCACCGGCCCTGACGGCCTCTCCTGACCGATCCTCCACTCCCTTCCCACCTGCAGTGCCCATCCCACCCGGTCCCACGTCCATCCTGCATCCTGGATGGCTCTCCAGGTGCCACTTTCCTGTCGCCCCAGCCCACACCCGATCTCCTGGCCGATCACTCAGCTCAGCAGCGAGTCCTGCATTGTACACTTGTTTGATTTCCCCCTGCAAGTTCTTAAGGGCAGAAGTTCGAGTCCCCACCTCTGCTGGCCTCTCCCAGAGCGGGCAGTGACCTGTTCCACTGGTCTGTCTGGCAGGACGCCTCCTTCGCCTAAGGGTCCCAAGTCCTTTACCCAGCACAGCCTGAAGTGTCTGCGTTGTGCTGAAGCACCCTTCAAGGGCCAGCCCCAAGGCTCCTTCGGAAGCCTCCACCCCTGCGAGCACGAAGGCAGGCTGAGCTCCAGCCCCGGTTTACACACCACTTTTCTGCTGCAGCTGCTGGCTGGCTAGGGGCCCGGGCGGTGGAGCAAGCAGCTGTCTCTTAAGAGCCAGCCCTGCCCTTGGGCCAGGTC